GTCACAAGACGATGAGTTACACCAAGATATATCATATTTTACAGGAATATGAAGCATTAGAATACGATCAGCTAAAATTAAAAATGTTGATGCTAATGTACCAACTGTTGATTTCTAGACTAAAGAATTGTCGACGAGCCATTTAATATGTAGATCCTAGAGTTGATCTGTCCTTGATGGGAAGCTTGAGACTGAAACGGTTTTCTTCGTTCTAGTGTATGTGGACTTGAAGTGCACCTCACATTCAACTGCTTCATTGCACAGGGTAGAAGGTTTGTCGTCATTGTTATAGATTGATGATAGTAAACACATTGATGGTATTGGGTGTTGAGCTTGATTTACCTTTCCAGATACTATCCACCCTAGCTTGGTGTTGTAAATAGTAACTAATTGATTGTTTACTTTTTATTGTTCATTGCCAAGCAGATCGAAGAACAGTTCTGCTCCCAACAACAGATCAATGTTACCTGGTTTATGAAAATTTGGATCAGTTAGGTTGTTTTGAACATGCTCTGGTAATTGCCATTGGATGACATCAACATATACTGCAGGAAGTTGATGTTTAATTGCGCTGATGATGGACATTTCTACCTTTTTTTGAATATTTGGAATGTAATGAATGCAACTGTCCATGTATCCAGCTTGAAGTGTTCATCACAGAAGTTCCAACTCCACAGATAGGCATTGTACCTTTATGTTTCTGAATGTTTAATTTGTTTGCTAATTTGGTTGAAATTAAATTGACCTGAGAGCCACTGTCAAGAACTACACGTGCCTTTATTAGCCTGCCTTTGCTGTTTTCAATCTTTACTATTGCTGTTCTAAGTAGTACATGACTGGTTTGCTATGTGCACAAAGTACTCGGGATACTGTTTGAGGTTCAACAGGAGAAGTAGGTATTTTTGGACTTGACTGCTCCAATGTTAGTGGATCTGGTTTAGGGTTTGACATAGTATCATTGTGTAGTAGAATATTATTGTGTTTTTTGCTACAATTTCTACATTTACCAGCTGTACAATTTAAATAGGAGTGTTCAGTGGATAAGCAGTTAAAACATAGACCTTGTTTGCGAACAGCTTGTGGCTGCAAATTGAACACTGGCTGTTTCTTATTTCTTGAGTAACAAGACATGCCTTGGTCCCTTGGTTTCTTGTTTCCTTAACCTTTGAATATTTGTCATTGATTGTTGACTCAGTTGCTATTTCACCTGCCTCATAAGCATTTACTCTATTCGATAGAAATTGCTTTAAGTCAGTGAATGTAGGTAACTGTTTTGATGTTTGTCTTAATTGCCATTCAGACACAGTGACGTTGTCAAGCCGACAGCATAACAATGTTACCAATCATGCGTCCCATTTGTCAACTGGTTGCTTCAGTGACTCCAAGGCACGTACATTTATGACAAAATGGTGGTGTAATTGATGTAGTTAACTTTCCGACGCAAACTGAACCTTTGGAGTGTTGAACAGAGCTCGAATGTGGAACTGAATGATAAGTCCTGAATTTTCATACCTCTCGGTTAACTTAGCATATGCTTGATGGTAATTGTCATTCGTGAGAGGAATGTTCTTTACAACGTCACTTGCTGTCCCAGCTAAATTTGATTTTAGGAAAAAGAATTTCTGTACTGATTTCAATTCAGGGATATTGTGAAACGCAGCATTGAAGCTGTCTATGAACGAGGACCAGTTTTGTATGTTCCCATCAAAGCTTGGTATTTCAATATAAGGTAGCCGAAGTGTTCTATTTCGTCCTTCTCTACCTACTGACGCTGCACAGGAGGAGCTTGAGTGAAGTGAATTGTTATCCAGCAGTGATCTCAAACTTGCCTTAACATCTATTATTTTTGATTGAAAATTGAGTTGTTCAAGAATTCTTTCTTCATCAGGTTTTTCTTCCAACAATTCCAACTTGTCTTGCATTTCCTCAATTGACTGACCCATAACATCCAGTTCCTCTATTCGACTGTGAACTTGATTCCTGTTGATTACATCTGGACTTGACTCTGCTGCAATTGTTCTCATAGTATTAAGAGAAGTGACCAGAAATTTAATTTTCCTTGCCAGTTGACTGACAATCTTGATTTCTTCATTATTCATGGTAATGAGTTTCACTTATTACTAAGCACAGTTGAAGATAATCTTTGACTTAGATTAGAATATAATAAGTGAACAAATGTGCTTTACATTGACTGCAATTGAACTATGTGCTTATTTAACAATTTAAATTCAGATCAATACTACCTATTTCATTTAACAACAACAATCCGGCTCGAAGGACCAAAATGTTTAGGCCAAAGAGCTTATTACGCTTGCTTTGGTGGAGGGTAAGTGGACTGTATTTTGTTTGGGAAATAATGTTAACGCTGGTGTTGTTGGTACATGAATTAGATAAAATTTATTTAAATAAATGTAAAATAGTATAATAATAATGGTGTATATAGTAATAAATGTGATGTGGTTTAATAATAATTATTCTGGCTTGGCAGCACAGACGAAACAATATGATAAAATATGTAATGGAATAATACAATAATAACTCTGGCTTGGCAGCGCAGATAATCATAATATAATAAATAATGTAATGCAATAATACAATAATAATTCTGGCTTGGCAGCACAGACAATTATAATAGAATATATAATGTAATATAATAATGCAGCTCGTCAGCCGAATTACCTGGTGAGCTGATGTCTGTTAGCGGCTTCGAACCAAACACTACCGCCTCGTAATGCACATATTGCACAATAAAAGAAGAATACAATTGAAATATGATATTAAATATGTGGCATTTCCGAGACGTATGACTAACAAGCCACCAGCTCAAACGAAAAATGCACTAGACAATAACATGGAATTCACGTGCTTCTGTATGTTCACCGCCCTGAAATGGGGAAAAATGTTAAATGTTTGCAATAAAATTATACTGAACGATACTTACAGAAGACTTCGACAAAGATGAATACAAATAAGATGAATAATGATGTGTGGCTATGATGCATTTACATTGAGACTGATTGAGTATATAATTTGAAAAAACGTGGTCCGGTGAGTAGCGATTACATAATACACAAACCGGCCGTATATGCGTCTTCGACGACCGCAGCAGAAAAAGTGAAATAAAAATAAAATGGCTTTTTGGTTATGTGCGGCTCACGTTACTCACCGGAAGCTAGTAATGCTAAAAATAAACACTGGTGTGTGATATAGCAGAATTCCTATTACTCTGTCCATGTGACGGACATGTTCCCGGCCCCACCCATTTAATTTTTCCCAATTTTTTTTTTATCGTGGAATTAGTACACAATTCCTATGAATTCCTACGAAAAATTCCGTCCGCAAAAATAAAATTCCTGTGGGCGGGGCTGGGAACACGTTTCTCCGCCTCCACCCATTGCTAATAATTGGTTTTTCACAATTTGTATTGGTAATTTGACAACATTTTAAATATATTCTACTTCGTTTTACTTGGAAATGTATATTTTTGAATTTTATTAAATATAGTTTATTACTTGTAGTTTAGACTATTCAAATTATACATGAATTAGAATTGATTTTTTTATTTAAATTTTAGTAAGGAAGAACATAACTTATTTTATAGGAAATATTATTGTAATATTTCTTTATCTTCTTTAATTTTAAATTAATCTTTAAATATATATTTTAAGTATCATAAGAAATCTGTTTTTTATATTTCATATATATTTTGAAACATAAAATAATTAATATAAAAATTAAAAAAATGATATCACTGCCATTGACACATATGTGCGTCAATGACAATTTACATTGATAGGTCATTGACGCATATGTGCGTTCACTCGTTTATAATGTTATCAGATAATCTGATAGAAAAACTGATAATTGCTAAAATGTAGTATTTTCAAAGACGAATTGAACTACGTAAAAAAAAATGATACTATTCTTATCAAAGAAGTTACATGCAATTTAAAATTTTCTAATGTCCCAGGCTTAGATAATATACACTGGATAGAGCTATAGCGTATATCACTCATAGTCCGTATTTGAAGCGACCAGTTCGGCCCCGATGTAGGTATTGCGCATGCTCCAGAAATGAAATAGATCGCGCGGGACGGGGTAAGAAAGTATGATTACTCAGATTACTGATTATTTCCTTGTCCTTAGATAAGCTTATCACAATTTACAAACAGTTTTGGCTGTATTGAGCATGCGCATAGTATGCGCATGCGCAGTTAAGACTTCGGGGCCCAGTTGCTATACTTCAAGATTTTAAATCATAGCTCTATCCTGTGTATATTATCTAAGGTCCCAGGCTTCCCAAAATATTGTTATCAGTTGTAATGTTTTGATAATTTGTTATCAATATTTGATGTTTTGAATTTTTGAATGTTCATCACTCATCAGTCATCACGTATTTTGTATTTAGTATTTACTGTTGTACACCTAAGTGACTACGTTTGTATTTATTTTTGTTATATTTGTGTATTTGTTGTCAGTATTATTCTACCTAGTACCATCATGTCACATATTATGAGTGATGAAAGTATATTGGCAAGTTTGGATGAAATTATAGCAAATGAAGAGTCAGACGACGAATTCATTAGTGATTTATTCGGTAATTATTATTAAATCGTTATAGTACGTATTATATAAAATATATACCCTATAAACTTATGTATTTCATTATTTGAGTGTTATACTTATGTATTGTATTATTTTGTAAACTATTATTAACAATTACTATACATAAGTTCATGATAATATATTATATAAGGTATAAGGTATACCATGTTTATTATGCTGTAAATTGTTTATATATTTGTACTATGTATTTTACAGTGGGTTTTGATGATGAGAAGAAATAGCTTCAAATCAAGATATTGGAAGTGTGCAAGGTGATGTTCACAAGTACACTGTATTCCAACAAAATGATGCAGAATATAAAATTATGTCAGACACTGAAGAAGAAACTGTACAATCTGATACTGAAGTTTCAATTCCAACACATCAACCAAAAGTAATTGTACCTAGAAAAATTAACAAAAACATGTTTACTCCAAATTTTAAATGGAAATCTAGTAGACCATTTCAACCTAAGGTTCACCAGTTTTGTTCTGCTAAAAGTGATATTCAAAAAGAGTTTGAACTGAACAGTAACTTTACTATTTTAGATGTTTTTGAAGCTCTCGTGACTTCATTTTTATTGGGAAAAGTTGCATATGAAACAAATGAATACTTTATACTGAATTACATAATGTTTGTCATCTCGCGATACAAGTTGGTATGACACTACATCAGAAGAGTTATATTTATTCATTTCAGTACAAATGCTTATGGCCAGAAATAAAAAACTTGAAATTGCAGATTATTGGTCTACAGATCCACTACTTTATTCTCTTATTTTTGGAAAAACTATGAGTAGAAATCGGTTTCAATTACTTTTGCATTATATTCATTTTTGTAATAATAAAAATCAAATCAAAAATGACCGCTTATTCAAAATTGATATGGTATTACAAGACATAAAGGATAATTTCAGATCTGCTATGGTGCCATTTCAAAATCTTGTTATAGATGAGAGTTCAGTTCGTGTTGCGACACCGTACAGTGCACACGTATATTTCTATCGCGCTCCGCTTATCAGCTCCCGATAGCAAAGTTGTTTGTGCTCGCCGCGACGTCTACTCCGTCGTGGTGCTAACCACTGGTAATGTATATTTTTATTATACTCCCCAAGGCCTACTACCTGTACACCTTATCTACATCATTATGAGTTCTAATCGCCAGCCGACCGGCTCTCATAGTTCCACTAACAAAAGCAAAACTACAAATCAAAAAAATAAACAACTCTCTCCGTTAATTATATCAAAAACCTTAATTAATCAAACAGGCTCTTACTCACCATCGGACTTCTCCGATAACGAGAACGACTGGCAAACAGTCACAAATGACTCCGGTAAACGTCAAAGATCACCCAACACTCCTTCATCACCACTTTCAAAAAAAAGACACTAGTATTTTCATTTCTTCAAATCGCTTCTCTCCATTAGCCCCTCCCAATGAAGAATCCCAAATGGACACCGACAATATTGAGCAGTCACAAGAAGTCACCCCTCCCAAAACCGCCAACCCACCACCAATATTCATAGAATCAAATTTAAATTTCAACAATTTTACCGCCAAAATCAAGGAACTTACGCAACCTGCTGGTTTTGAATGTAAAACCTCCACCAAAGGGGTTAAACTACAAACTTTTAATTCGGACTCGTACAGATCTGTTGTTAAATTTCTCAAAGAAAGTCAAGTTCCCTTCCACTCATACCAAAATAAAGAATCTAAACCTTACAGAATTGTGATAAAAAATCTCCACCCTACCACGGACATATCATTCATAAAAGACGAATTATCCTCACTTGGCTTCCAACCCAGAAATATTATGAATGTACTTCACAGACAATCCAAGGCACCTCTCCCTATGTTCTTCATTGACCTTGAACCGGATATTAACAACCCTGATATCTTCAAGCTTTCACTCTTATGCTACTCAAAAATAAAAGTCGAAGCTCCTCGTCCAAAAAAAGACACTCCTCAATGCCTTCGATGTCAATCATATGGTCATACACGCACTTACTGCAACCACCACCCCAGATGTGTTCGCTGCGGTGATCCCCATGACTCATCACAATGCCAAAAAGATCGAACTCAACCCGCCAAATGTGCCCTATGCAGTGGTCCACATCCGGCCAACTACAGAGGTTGCTCAGTGCACAAAGAACTCAGCAAAAATAGAAAACACTTACCTTCGAATCCTTGGCACAAAAACGCACCGAACCACCAAGCATCTTCCTCCTCACAAGAACCTCTAAAAAACACCCACGTGGAATTCCCTCCCCTGCCACAAAATACGCACAATCATTCACACAGAACACATCAAGTATCTCCTATCCCTAGTGTTCCGAATAACACAACGGATCAACTCACGTCTTTCATCATGGAATTCAGATCGCTAATCAATCCCCTGATATCCCTACTTACATCACTCATCGAAAAACTTATCTCAAACAATGACAGAAAATAAGTTATCCGCCTTAACCATTCTTCTTTGGAACGCAAACGGAATCACCAACAACACGGAAGAACTTAAACTTGTTCTCGCAGAAAAAAACATAGATATAGCTCTCATCTCCGAATCTCATCTGACCTCCAGCTCAAAATTTAAAATTTTCGGATACGACTGCCTCCAAGCCAATCACCCCGATGACTCAGCTCATGCTGGTGCCGCACTATTAATTTTTACCAAAATCCCACACTCGCCTTTTCAACCTAAATCTAACCAACACATGCAGATAGTCGTTACATCTATTGCATCAGCCTACTTCCCACCTGGATTACCTTTTCCGACAGAAGATCTGTCACTATTTCTTCAAACACTTAATCACACATACATCATAGGTGCTGACTTCAATGCGAAGCATGAAACATGGGGCTGTCGCTCAAAGAACACTAGAGGTCGCACTCTACACAACTTTATAACAATAAAGCGCTTTAAGGTTATCTCTCCAGCCTCCCCTACCTACTGGCCAACTCACGCAAACCGTCACCCTGATTACCTTGATTTTTTCTATCTAACCTCCCCAATCACATCCATACAAACATTTCTAACCTAAACGACCCTGCATCTGACCACATACCAGTCATCCTCAAAATTCAAGCAAATGTTCCCTTCCACCCATTCGTAAAAAAACGCACAGATTGGAACAAATTTCGCAATATTATGTCAACTTCTTCCTCTTTAAACATTAAGTTAAAAAATCCCACCGATATAGATACTGCCATAAACACCCTCACAAACAACATTCAAGACTCATTTCGAATATCTTCCACCACATCTGTAACTCAAGACAACTCTAGTAGAAATATCACTCCGGAAATAAGAAAGCTCATATTTCAAAAACGTTGGGCTCGAAACATTTGGCAACAAACTCACTACCCGATTGACAAACAACGCTACAACTATTTTTCCAACAAACTCAAGTCAACTCTCAAGAAACATCAAAGTCAACTATACACATCCCATATTCAATCTCTTTCACCCTCAAATGGGTCTCTCTGGAGAAAAACCAAATCTCTTTTAAAGCATAAATCTACCATTCCCCCTCTACGCTATCAGAACAACAATCTTGCTACCACTGACCAAGAGAAATCAGATCTTCTGGCTAACCATCTTGTTAATACATTTAAACCTCACAACATTTCCCCAGATGATACTCACATGCTTCAAGTTGAGCAATTCATCTCATCGCCTCTGCCCATGGCACTTCCAGCCTCCCCAACTACTCCTGGCGAAGTTCTATCAATTGTTAAAAAACTCAAGAATAATAAGTCACCCGGCCATGATCTAATCAACAACAAATTAGTCAAAAACTTACCACTAAAAACCATCATTCTTCTCACCTACATCTTTAATGCTATATTTCGGCTATCTTACTTCCCTACCACTTGGAAATCAGCACTAATTATTACTATACTTAAACCAGGCAAACAACCTGATATGCCTGAATCGTATAGACCAATCAGCTTACTACCCACGTTTGGAAAAATTTTTGAAAAACTTCTCCTCAAAAGACTTGTGAATATTGCACTCAAACAAAATGCCCTTCCCAGCTTTCAATTCGGTTTCCGTGCCAAACATGCAACTTTTCACCAGCTTCACCGCGTAGTGGACCACATTGCTTCATCTCTAGAAACAAAAAAATACTGCTCAGGACTTTTTCTCGACGTAGCCAAAGCCTTTGACACCGTTTGGCACGACGGTTTATTATTCAAACTTAAAAAAATCTTCCCGGCACCCTATTATCTACTTCTAAAATCATACCTAAACAACAGAACATTCAGAGTCAAATTAAAAACCACATTCTCCAGCACACAAAACATTCTAGCCGGTGTCCCTCAGGGAAGCGACAAGGCTCCTTTCCTATACACATTGTTCACAGCTGACATTCCTACAACGGAAAACACCCTAATAGGGACATATGCCGACGATACCGCAATCCTTTCATCTAGTCAAGACCCCTTCGAAGCAAGCAGCCTACTTCAAAATCATCTCAACAGCCTATCTCACTGGTTCAAATCATGGAAAATCAAGATCAACGGCTCCAAGTCTTCCCATGTCACTTTCTCCCTCCGCCCAGGTGACTGTCCTCATATATCATTTGAGAATGCAATCATTCCCCACACAAATGAAGTCAAATATCTCGGCTTACTGTTTGACAGAAGGCTCACCTGGGGCCCCCACCTCAAAACTAAACGCAAACAACTAAACAGCCGCCTACATATCCTCAGGCCTCTCATGAAATCTAATATGCAAATCTCCAACCGTTTACTACTCTACAAATCCCTTCTGCAACCTATCTGGTCATACGGAATAGCTCTCTGGGGTACCACTAAACCATCGAACACTAGAACCATACAAGCATTCCAAGCCATCTGCCTCCACATGATTGCTAAAGCCCCTTGGTACGTCACAAATATTGCTCTTCATAACGACCTCAAAATACCCACCATTAAACATACAGCTATCAAATATTATCTTCGCCTGCACTTCAATATGGAACATCACTCAAACCCCCTCATCGCTCAACTTCATACCAATGCTCTTCCAGACAACCCAGCCAGACGCCTCAAACGTGAATGGCCCAGAGATCTTCTCAACGCACATTAATCTTAACCTTGTATATTACTATTTCCCCCTAAATTACCTTTCACGTAGGAATTTCTAATGTGAAACTTCTACTCATTGTACTTTCCTCATTGCCACTTATAAGTTATAATTATTATCACATTTACTTATTGTACCATTTTGTATAGATTGTAAATTCACAAATAAACGATTTAAAAAAAAAAAAAAAAAAAAAAAAGATGAGAGTTTGGTGTTATGGAAAGGGAGACTTTCATTCAAGCAATTCATAAGGACTAAACGTTATCGGTTTGGAATCAAATTTTTTATTTTATGTGATGTAGAAACAGACTATATTTTAGATTTTATAATATACACAGGAAAAACTACACGTCTTGTTTCATGTGATGCTAACTTGGGACAATCAGGTGCTGTTGTAAAAACATTAATGAAAAGATATTTGAATAAAGGTCATACTCTATATACTGACAACTGGTATACATCACCAATACTATCAATGTACTTGCATAAAAAAAAAGACTAATACTTGTGGAACTGTAAGATGCAATCGTCGAGGAATGCCACCATTTAAAAAAACTAAATTTCAACCAGGTCAAATTGAGAGTAAACATACTGGAAATTGTTAACAATAAAATGGATGGACCGGAGAGAGGTGCATATGCTTACCATGATATATGAAGATGAACAGTTACCAATTCAAAAACATGGTAAAATAACAATTAAACCTGAATGTGTTAAAGAATACAACGAAAATATGGAATCTGTGGATAAAACTGATATGTTACTAAGTAGTGTAGAGTGTGTAAGAAAAACAATAAAATGGTACAAAAAAATATTTTTCTATTTGATAGATTTATCATTGTTAAATGCGTACTCATCATATAAAACAGTTACTGGAAACCATATACCAATAGCTCAGTTTCAGATGGAACTAATAAAACAAATAATAGAAAAATATCATACTGATCGTGTAACAAAATCAAGACCACCAACTAAAGACCAACCATCAAAACTAATTGATAGGCATTTTCCATCAGAAGTTCCAGCAACACAATCTGGAAGGCTTGCCAGAAGAAGATGCCAACTATGTAAGAAGAATAATAAGAGAACTGACACTAGATACATGTGTACAGAATGTGATGTGAGCTTATGCACAGCACCTTGGTTTTAATATACACCACAACAAAATGTTGACTATTTTTTTATATTTTATTATAGACTGCAACTAGTATAATACTTAAGTATAATTACATGTAATGTTTAAAATCCATGTATATTTTTTTATTTTTTATTTTTTTTTTTTAATAAATAGGTAATTGATTTTTGCAATTTATAATATATGCGTTATTAATTACCAATTAACGATAAATGTTGAGAACCAATGGCTGGTTAATTAAAAAGTACTTACAACTAATTAGGAAATTAACTAATTAATTTTTTTTTTGCTGATTATTATTAATTCAAGGAATTCATTAAATATAATTTCAAAAAAAAATGAAAATTTCAAACAAAAAAAAAAAGCTTGGCCTGGCAGTAGTGAATAATTTTAAAGTGCTTGGCAGGGAAAAGGTTAACTTATAAATTATATCGTATATATGAGAAATTCACACGGAACTACAGTTGATGATTTTATCTGTATCACATTCTGTTGCAAGTCATCAAACATTTCCCAACTATTTGTTCCACGCCGCTTACAACAGGCATAGTAATGTCCAGTAGATGTCCTTGACATATTTAGGCTATGCCGATAACAACCAACACCTCTTAATTTGTAAGTTCTTCCTGAGCTAATCAGTATATCAGGTATATCCTTTAGTGATATCTGAAGTTGTGGAACAGCTTCACTGCTAAAATGAATATTGTCGTCTCCTATAAGAATAAAACACATTGCATTTATTATGCTTTATTATGTTGTAATTATAAATTATAATACCTTCCCAATTTAATATTTCCACAAATAAATGAAATTCAGATATTTTCGTTGTCTTTATTTTTAATCCTTCGCATGGTCCATTATCATTAATATAACCACACATCATTTTTTCAATACTGATTCTAGAATTCAAATAACTTTGTAACCCTTGTATGCCATCATTGTTTGTAGTATATGTAATAATCGTTATTGGTATCGGCACTTCCTTTGTCCTTCCACATGTTTGGACATTGCATTTTATGTAATCATAAGCCGATGGAACTTCCGCCAGTGCACAATTAAATATATTGCTAGCTACTGTTTCACATTTTGCCAAAGTTGTATTGTATCCTAATATTTTTAACTCTGGGTTCAGTCTTTTTATCTAGAATAAAATCAAGATACATTTATATATTATTATATTGATTTTATTATATTAATATATTAAGAGGACATCACGCCCATGTGTAGATCCTGGCTTACCAAGGTACAACATACTAAATTATACGTTCACACTTATCTATTTTACTCAATTATAAGATCTGTGAGGTTTTTAATTACAAAGAAATTTAAGATAATATAAAAATATATAAACAATGTACAATTTTAAATTAAATTGATAAACAAAACTTAATCCGGTGCCTTAGATAATAATTATAATACAATTATATGCCTATAATATGTCAATTTATTCTAATTTTAAATATAACAGTAAAATTGATCATCGTGAACGTACAATATGCTATAATGAACTTTCGTAAAATAAAGACAACACATTCAGATGTGGTATCATCATAATATAATGTGTTTTTATAAAATTATATTTGTTAGATAATATTTTATTACCATAATCTCAGCTCTTTTTGAGTATGTCCTGGATGTGATACCATTAGTAATTAATTCTGCAGTGAATTTTAAAAATTCATTATTGCATTCATCGACCTTTACTTTGTAGTCGTGACTATCATTGATGGACACCATTAAAATTGAAGAAACTGTATCAAATGCACATGTATTACTTATAACAACTTTACCTAGATTTTTAAAGATACAGCTTTCTAATTCTTGTGCACAGGAGCCATTCTTTAATATTGGTAGTGATTGTATGTGCTTTGAATTTTTTAGCTGAAGATGCCACAGATTAGGGTTAGGGGAAAGGTAAGAATTTGAATTACGTTGCTTTTTTGAAGTATGGTTCCATGTTTCAATAGATGTATTTTCTTCCAATTCTTCGATAACATCCAAAACATCTTCAGAGCAAGTTAAACAAATTCTAATGTCTTTGTTCCCCTTGCATTGGGTAGAGCAAGATGGAATAGCATGAACTGGAACCAGGCATATCACACACTTATGACCATAATTTTCCGAAGGATGATTTCCTGATTTACATAACGGACACCGTAAAAAGGATACAACATTTTCTGTCAACTCATTGGAACAATAATCTGAAATGGTTCGACGTAATAGTGTTTTAATTTGCTCATTGATTTCATAATTCGATACACTGTTGTTCTGTTCCGGTATAGCCGATAATGTAGAGCTATTTTGTTCTCGGATAATCGATGCCCCTTTCAAAGATAAAACATGATTTTCTAGAAAAATTTCAATATTTGTTGGTAATTCAATATTTTTGAAAGTGAGGTGCTTTAATTTTTTAAAGCTTGATTCAACGGTGACCGAAGAAGCTACTTCTTCACCATAACCAAATATAGGAATCATTATTCCTGACCATAGTGGGAGAAGTTTTAAACATTTAATAATAATGGGCACTAAGGAAGGACAGTAAAATGGATTTATTCCAGTTCCTTCTTCTATAAATGTTTTACTTTCGTTATAAACAGATTTTGCCCAAGATTGAAAAGGATTTTCAAAACTATCTAGGCCTACATTTTGCCTCTCATATTCTTCTTCTAAAGTTACACGTGTCTCATCTTCTACTTCTACGAGTGTCAATATTTTATTAAATTCCTCTTGGAAATCTACAGAAAGAAACGTATTATAATTCATAACATAATATAAATCATATCAAAATAAAGCAAAGTAATTTTTTTTTTTAGTATTAAAAAATTAATAATATTTATTGTGAACTTTACTTTTTCACAGAAACATTTTTTTTAATATAATTGTTATTATTATTTTTTTAATATAGTTATAATAAAAATTTAAAAAATATGATTTACCTAGAAAACCTGTAGATGTCGCTTGAAGTAATTTTTTTTTATATTTTTCACATGGTGTATCCAAATTATTGAATATGTTAACACCATCTGTTTCATTGGACAGTACAACAAATAATGTCAACAACATTGAACGTACATCAGTTAATGACTGATTCTTAATGATTAACCCAACTGCTCTTAAAATCACTTCTCGAACTCTTCTAGAAACATTTTTTAATGGACCCCATCTACAGACAATTTTTATGAAATGAGCGACATCGATCCTAATAAAACATCTGGGAGTCCAATGTATATTGGAAGCTATACGACCAGCAAGGATATCTGCACACACTCTTACATAATCTTGCAATAATGAATACTGAGTAAAGACATGGGAAATAGCCGATAAAAGAGATAAAGAGTTGTCACATATTATTTGTTTAGGTTTTGGTACATCGCAAGCGGCCCATTGTCCTAACCAATTTGCAATTGCTGAATTTGAATGCCTTTCGCTGATCATGTTGGTTACTGTGAAACTATGCCCAGGATTTTTATCATACGCTATACATTCATATAAATATATAACATTCGTATTTCCTAGGCCTAATTTCTTGAATTTTTTGATTACTGAACCAGTTGCATCAATAACCAAAGTTGGTTTAGTGTTATTTTGGCAATAGCTCCTATACAAATGTATTTGTTCACTCGAATGATAGTGAACAAAAAAAGGATCACACCCTATATCTTTTATGACATCCTTAAAGTTGTCTTCGCCCTTCATCATAGTTAGTGCTGTTATAGTATCATCGTTTCTTTTATTAGCTCGAATTTGTTTTGATTTTTGGAGTCTGAGAGCATTTCCTGTAGGTAAAATCGCTGGTTCACAATCACCTAATAAATATAGTTACATATACTAATTTTTTGTTTATAGACTTGTAAGATATTTATTTTTAAAATAAGTGTTAGATGGACATGGTTTAAAAATATTTTGTGTTATATACATACATAATAAATGTATCTTATGCCTAACATAATGATGACGTTTAAAAATGTACATTATCATTTAATAACATTTACAGTGTAAAATGTTTATGTGTTTCTTACCCACTTTCATAAGGCGCACGGCTTCCTTTTCTCTGTACGTTTCACATGCTATACCTTCATTAACCAAGGAATTTGCAGATTTAAAAAGTACTGGACCTAGTATTTGGCGTTTTCTCTTAATTTTGTGTTCCTCGTTAAAATTACCAGAATAAATGCAATGCATGAGTACTCTGTAATAATAAATAATTATAGGTTCGTGGTTAAAGTAAATATTTTAACTTATCCAAACGAATTTGAAAAATGCATTTTATTTATAGACTTATAGTATTATATAAAATATAATATTATACTTAAAAAGTTTCAAGTAACTACCAATTATGTTTTTGAATTTCAAAAATATAATTAATATCGTTATTCATTGATTAAATATATTGTTTCATACAAAAACTTGAGAGATTAATAAAAAAACAGTATTCATAACATTTTTAGATTTTTAAAGACTCCTAAAGATTAGATTTATTTTACTACTAAAAATGATGCTGAAGTTGAATATTCCTGTGCCAAAGCATTCCAAATAAAAAAATCTAAGTATTTCAATCAATTACTCTCCGATTACTAACTTCTGTACCATGGTATAATGTTTCTAACAATTTGCTCTTCTATTACTTAAACATTAATATCATTTACACTGTTACAACCAACCATTACAAAAAATTTCACTCCAAACCAGTCACTCACACCAACCCAATTATATCTCTCCAAGGAGCGACTAGCTGAAAAATTTTAGTTGTGGGTTAAAAGACTCTTGTAGCTGGTACATGGATGGGTTAGGTTTAGGTTAGGTTAAATTAAATTCCCAACCATAAAACCGCATAAGGGTTCTATTACTAGACATCCTCTCTTCTCATACTATTTATAATCATGTAAATATTATCCACATCATTAAATTCTATTAGCTCATTGTACATTTGATACAGACTGTACATTTTTATTTTAATAAAAAAAAAAAAAGGAAAAAACACTAGACAAAAAATAAAAATTACACACAGCATTGAA